CTGAAAAATTACCCCTAAAAAGCCAGGCGAGAGGGCAGAGGCGAAGAGACACGAGAGAGGAGCTCGAGAGGGAGCGAGTGAGAGACAGAGCAGCGGCACACACAGTGATGGAGGGGCGGGTGTCTGTCTGGCGGCCGCGGCGGCCGCGGCAGCGCCTCAACCTCATACTGTTCCCGTCCGTCCCGAAAAGCCAAGCCGAGAGAGAAAAGGATCAAAGACCAGAGGCAGGCGCGCCTAGGCGGGGCGGCGGCCCCACGGGCGGCCCGCGGGGGCTGCAGGGCGGCTAGCGGCTCAGCTCCTCTAAGCCCCGAGGATCCCCTCGACTAAATGGGGAATTAATTCGACCGCCATCGAAGAGGAAGAAGCGTGTCGCAGTGGCGCTAAGGACAGCTACAGCCCCGAGGATACAACCCCATCCCGCTCCCCCCGCCGCGCCCCAGCTACGAATAGACAGCAGTCAACCCTTTCACCCTCTGCGTTGCGCCGACTTTTATTTAGATTGATGTCTCCGGAAAGGGATACAGAAGGAGATCAACAGGGCAAGCGAACCCCAGAAAAGAAATAAATGAACGCGTCCAATCACCTCCGAGACGCCATAATTTATGTACTGGCTAAAAATGGGGTCAAAATATGGTATTCGTGCACTCTTGAGGTAATGCTCCGAGGAAGAAAACATATTTTAGGGGAAGTGCCGGTAGTTATAAAGCTCAAACACCGCAAGGCGCATCATTAAATAACTGAGTATATACCATTTTCACACTGAGTCTGGTTTTGCAATACTTTTAACACAAAACCATGCGATAACTGGTGTTTTGCGGCATGATAACCCCAAAAAATGTGATGAAAGTATCACAAAAATGTGATACTTTTGTCACATTTTTGGGGGTAATCATACTTATTAGCGTGGGAATCGCAAAACACCAATTACCGCAAAAATTCAGTAAAAGTATCACAAAACGGATTTCAGTGCAGTGTGTTCAAAATTGGCCACGGTCATTGGCAGAACACGCTTCCAACATCCAATCCTCGCTCTTTCTCTGAGCCATGCACCGCACACGTGTTTATTGCCATGCGAACGCGCCGGGGGTGATCGGCATCACAAACGAGGCATTACCGACTTTATTTTACGGAATGCACTTTTTCTTTATCCTTACGCCGCCCCATTTCGGGCGGGCCAGGCGGTCCTCGCAGCCGCCGCGTACTCACACTGCATACCTAAGGAGCGCGCCCGTGCGAACTCCGTGGTGCGGTAGCTGCGTCAAAAGGGCGAAACGGCACTCAATTTATCGTCACCGTTAATTTCAGCCGGCAGGTTTTTCCTTACTTGGAAATCAATTTTTTGCATTATTCGCGGTCGGGAAAAAACTAGGTAGTTGATGAAGTTACACAGTGCTCAAGTTCCACAGTCATAAACTAGCGTTTTCAGTGTAATGAATTTCGCCATGTCACGTTAATAATCTGTCACGAATAGTTCACAATTGTAAATAACGAGTATTATTCGTCAAGTGTGGTTACGAACTGTTCGAAGTGGTGTGAAATCAAAACATTAGTAACATGTTTGAGTTTTCCTTTTCCTTTTCAAAAGTGCTAGTGCGGGATGTGTCGAGTTACAAGCTGTTCGTTATTTGTACGATGTTATCGTTACTTTTTTGACTACGAAGAGTTTGTAAAGGAAAATGAACTGGACATTTTTCATAAAATCGCGATATACTTTCCGACGGTGCATGCATTTTTACATCTGCAGTTATAAAAATACACGTGTGGTGTAATGAAAACGATAAAATCTACACGCCCACAGTACTCTATCTTCTTATGAAGCAAACTAAAGAAAGTTGATTCCGCCTGATAAGATTCCAATGCGTTATAGACATAAAATATTTACTTTTAACGTGATATTATTGTTCCAGAGCGGTTCGACCCCCACCTGTTGTTTCACGTGGCCGCCGTGGTGACCAGGGGAATGCCCCGAGGCGCACTGATAACTCGATTACTTCTCACCAACAAGTCCTCATGAGTTATCGCTGCCCCGGCCGCCCCTCGCACCTCAGGACAGGTGCGCAATGGAGAGAGACGTCAAAAGCTTTAATCATATTCACTGCAATCTGCTTTCTGATACTTTTACTTATTTTGATGTGCGATAACTAGTGTTTTACGATTGGCAATTCACGGAAAAAAATTACTTCATTGTGAGGATCAAGTGTAGGCTAAATTCGATAGCTGGAATAATCGAAAATCTGATGCCCACAACCAGGAGTTGGTTGCCTCGACCGGACACTTTTACGAATAGAACAAACTCCAGCTGGGTTCTATTCGTACAAGTGTCCAGTCGTGACAACCAACTCCTGCTTGTGAGTATCGGCCTCGATTCCAGTTATCGAATTGAGCCTACCAAACAGAACTAATCCCCCTTTTCCGTATTGACACTGGATGCTAAAGGATACCGAAAGCGTGTTTAATTACAAACTTAATTACAATAAAAAAATATACGAAGAAAATCATCGCGAAAATAATTCAACAACATTTATCACAAGATTGTAATAAAATGTCATCGTATAACAAAATATCTTTATAAGTAAAACGTCATCGCATTTGCCATTTGCGGTTGTTTTCTTCCTGTTCATTTTATGTCAGTTTCAGTTTTTGATAAAAAAAATAAGTAATCATACCAGGTGGCTGACTCACGCCCCTCACTGTCGTAGTCGTACTGTACCGCATGCACGGGTGCGGGCGGGATTGCCTACTACGTATCGCTGCCCACGGCTACATATGACTCCGTGCGAGTAGACAACCCGCCCGCACGCGTGCATACGGTACAGTACGACTACGACAGTGAGGGGCGTGAGTCAGCCACCTGGTATACCGTTTATCAAAGAAATCGCCAAACAAAGTTTTCGCGAATTTTCAGTTGGCAGTATCGCAAAACCACATATTAATTAATGACATCAACTGTTTGCGAGAAAATTGACTGCGGGTTCAATGTTGCTAGAGGGTTAAGGGGAAGCAGCAGTTGGGAAAGAGAGGGGGGGGGGACGGGGCGTTGAATGAACACCCAGGTGTGGGCGCGGCTTACGTGGCGCGCAGAGCGACAACTCGCGTGTGAAATCAACAGCTGAAAAACACCCCAATTAACGAAGGGTGGGGGCGGGACGAAAAGGAGGAGAGAGGGGAAAGGGGGAGAGGACAATACACAACCAGCTGCTCCACAGCACCAGCCAGACCTTTCACTACTCCGAACCCTTTTCCCCTTAACCCTTAATTTGATTGCGTGCACGTAAAGAGCTCCTTTTACACGACGCAGTCGGCCGAACGCTGGCATTCTGTTTCAAAAATTTGCAGCGTATTTCGCATCATTGAAGGATTTAGCTTGCTCAAATTGCGAGGATGTCGGGCGTTACCGGAAACCGGGATCAGCATACTTGCTCTGCAATGTGCCCCGGTGGAAGGGCCTCACAACTAGGACGGCTACTGGTCGGACCGAAAAACCTTGCGGGTCATATGTGACCTCACGGTTGGTCAATTCAAGAAAACATGCGGTGGTCTTTCTTCTCTGTTTATGGAGAATTGAGTGATTTGAAAGAACGTCCGAACTGTTAACGCCTATTTTATTCAGCTGACTCGAATAACGTGTTAAACACACGCAGGCACTACTAAAACATCTTCATTGACTTAAAACATTGACTTCTGTTGGGTTTTTAAATTTTTTTCAACGGCAAGCTGTCGAAACTTACGCGCACACTTCATGCAGTCAGTCCGCCAGTAAATTTTCCGAAAGTGACAACTAATATCCAATTTGTGTAATGGGCACGGAGCACCCCACCGCCATGTGTGCGCCCGGGCGGAGTGGGCGGGAGCTGTGTTCGAGCGGAGAAATGACACATTAGGGGAGGACTGCCGCGCATCGTTGTCGCAACACCAGCGAAGAATATTTTCGGAAGATAATCAAATATAAAGGGGGAGTAATACATTTCCATGCCATGCATGCTTAAAACGTGCGCACTGTGGTTTTATGTGTTTTCCTGAACGTGTTTTGTTGCCGTGTAGCGACCCCGAGTGTCACTGGCTGGCGCGCGATCCGGCGCCGCACCGCACCGCCGCCCCGAGACACCGGCGGCTACGCCCCACCGCTAATTTTTGACAGGAGAATCATTCAAACGCCCTCTCGAGGCTCGCGCCGCCGGGGCGGTAGTCGGCTGTAGGGGCAGGGCAGTGGGGGCAGACGGAAGTGGCATCAGGGCGTGCGCACGCAGGCTCGCCACTAGTGACTTCAACACTAGTAAACCGAACCAACCTTTGTCACGCTCACCTGATTTTGACGGGGATTCGAACCGAAATGCACGGTGGATCAGCTACTGAGAAGATTTTACACCAAGCAGAAAGCGTCCACTCACATCCCCTTTTCCCTTTCTTTTCTCTCAAACACAAATCCATTCAAAGCACGCACCCATGACCGCGCATACACACACACACGCATCACACACACACATACACACAAACCACATTTAGGGACAGGGGGGGGTGTAGTAGACGGGGAAAAGCTCAAAGTTCGGCCTCGGCCACGCTCATACAATGTCGTCCTGCTCCAAAAAAACATGGCGCAGTACGTAAATGTAGCTCACCGCCCGGGGGTGCGCGACTCAACCCATGAGGAACATTTAATCAAAAACAACTGCGACGTGACAAAAGCGAGCCCCGGGGTCCTCTCCGGCTCCAGTCACTGCGGAGAGAGAGGGAAACCGGGGGGAG